CCCCCTCCCTTTCCCCCCTCTCAAACACTCCCCTCCCTTTCCAACGATGTCATAACTCCTTGTTTACCACACACCCTTGTGACGTCGCTGTCGTCAGCAGTCAACGTCGTAGCGCATAGGAATTGAAAAGGCTTTTATGGTATACTTTCATTCGGTTTTCTTATAAGACGTACGAAGTCCTTCTTGACATAAAATGTACTTCGAAGCCACCCCCCTCCCCCCAACACACACACACACACACACACACACACACACACACACACACACACACACACACACACACACACACACACACACACACACACACACACCTTACACGCCAATCACAAAACATTCAAACGGTTGCTGAGTTGTTGGCAACGGCGAGCCAGCATGAGAATGAATATTATTATAAATACTGAAATAAATACTAAAGTTAGACAAGGCTGAATACTATCACCTGTACTTTTTGGAAACGCAATTGACTTTGTAATTATAAGACAAAACAAAAACATCGACACAAGCATTTTATGTCCACATAATTTGGGAAAATTAGCTTTTGCTGATGAAGTGTTGCCTGTTAAACACAGTGCCACTGTACAAAACGTGCACATCAAGATCTGCAGAAAAAAAACGTTTGACTTGTATATGTTTTTTTCACAGAGCAGTAGTATCCAAGACGGTCTTACTGAGTCCTGGGTAGTATTGCGATTACCACTAGAAACTATTTCCATAACACTCTATGAAAGACCCAAAGCCCTTGTCGCATTTTCTCCTAACGCACAGACTACACTGACGACGCCCATCAGAGACTCGTTTATGTGATAATATCAAAGTATTCACAAAATATAGTTTGTCTCAACAAAGGTGGACACTTTCAAGAGAATATATTTTCATACTGATCAAGCCAATTCGAAAGAGAGCATTTCCATATACGTGTAAAAGATAATTCAAATATATTTGGTAAATAGTAAACTTTTACATTATGGAAAGCTCCTTTTTTCACAATCAGAACAAATTACGAAGTACACCTGCATTTTGTTCGTTTCAGTAAGAGTTTTACGGCACTTGCAACACAATTAAGTCATGTACTTACCGAAGATTGTTTTGTTTGTTTTAATAAGTGTTTTACGACGCTCGCAACTGCATAAGTTTTACGACGCTCGCAACTGCATAAGGTGATGCGAGTACGCGAGATACATTAAACATTTTGTTTTAGTTTGGTAGGAATTGGGTGAAGCTTACCCCTATTGATTTTGGACCACAAGGGGACTTTTAACGAAGGCAACTTACACACAGGACCTCCGAGGTCTTTCACCCTTGTCCGAGAAGGCAAGGTGTAAGATCTAAAGACTAACAAAAAAGAAAGAGGCGAGACAAGGACGATGGATATTTGATCAGAAAGAAGGAGCAAACCACACAAGAGAACCCATTGACCACCCACACACCTGTTTTACTATTTCGCCCCACAATGATAAAATATCATCAATAACTAATACAAAAGCACCAACATATTTCAAAATAAAGAGTTTCAGAAGTTCTTGTTTAAAGAAAGAGAAATTCTGAGAGCACCACAGGGTACAGACATTATCTGCAATGACATTCTTATCATATCAAGAGACCGGATAGAGAAGCTTTAAAATACCGTTGATGCTGCAGTTACCTCCTTTATTGAAAACCAGCAAAAAAAGCTCATTGAATGGCTGTTTTCAAGGAAATACAAAATTTTAAAGGGAATATCGGTGTATGAAGCAACGTCTCCGGAGCGTGAAGAGAAAACTTAGGACGGATTACGGACTATAGGTCCCAAAAGAGTTTCAGGTTAAAGTACATTATGGCAAATTATCCAAAAAATTCAGAACCATAATATACAGTGAGCTATCCTCCATGAAGACATGTCGATCAGGTCGCAAAAAGTCTGAACGAAATGCACAGAATGTAGGAAGGGACGTTATTGTTCCTGCTACCAATAGACCTTCCCCTTGCTCGCCGTCTCACAGGCGATTCTTGGAGCAGAAACAAAGACTTCGCTTCATCGGATTTCATGAAAAGATCCAACGTTTACAGCCTTGCCCTCCTAAAGAGGCAAGCCCTGTCGTTACAGTACAACAGAGTCGAGGCCAGACTTGAGGCGCGGCATTGGTTAGAAAGAATGATTCAGAATAGGTCAAATCCGTATGGTTTCGTGACGAGGTTCACTTTTACCAAAACAGAGAAGTGAAGAACAGACGGTCAAATTTTCAGTGGGAATCAACGAAACCCGACACTGACTAAAACTTTAAAAGGCCACTTCATTTCGCCCAGAGTCACAGCGCAGTGAGCAATGAGATACGTACTTCAACTGCTTTCATAGTATCACAAAGCGATGTTTTGTTAGCTATGGAACTCCTTCAAACTCCTTACCCCAGGACCTCAGAGAAATTTAAAAAATCATAATACGTGCGATAAAATTAAATTGTTTAAAGTCTTAGTTGGAGGGTGTTAGCAAGTGCTTATGTGTCTTGTTTTCACTGCTGTCCTCATGTGTATTTTAATTAATGTATGGCTGAGAAATTCATTCCTTATATGTTTGAACTGTTGTCTTTATGGAAAATGTGTGTGTGGGGGGGGGGGGGTTAACTCTCAGTAATCATGCCATCGATGTTAAGCGCTCAGGGCGTTTGCATAGGACAGAGCGTTATTATAATGATATAATAGGAACGATATAAAATATGCATTAACCTTTCACAACTGAGTGTTAAAATTGAACGTCTTGTTAAGCATTTCCTTTACGTGCTTTTCGGGATTTTTTGATTTTTTTTATTCCTTGGAAAGACGAGATGTGATTAAGACTTCTCTCGGATTCAAAACTACACCCTACGTGTGTCGGTCTAAGAGAGAAACAATGGTATAAAATAAACACCCTGAATTACGTTTGCCAGCTATCATGGAGGGCGTCAACGGAGGACCAATTTTGGTATGGATGAATTGTAATGTCTGGTCAATGTTTAGTGCCCACATCAGCCCACATTGACACAATCGAGATAATATTATCGTAAGCCTCAGGTTGCGAAACCCTGCCTGTTGGGGGCCAACATTGGATGTAAGAGACAGATCGAGATTATCTACATCATCCCAGCAGGTTAGACAGAGGCACGGGATAAAATAATAATAATAATAATAATAATAAAGATCATTTCT